CATGGCACAGTCTGGATTATCCTAAACTTCCTGGATGTTCTGGCACCGTGGCGCGTGTTGACGCTTCCCTGACTCTCCTCCCATCCCGCGCGCTCTCTTCCATTGGCTGCCTCCTCTCCTCGCGCACATCCCGCTCATATAAACCTGGGGCCTAGCACTTTTTGCAGGGTCAAATTTCCTCTGCGCGTCCGTGCGACCTCTTCCTCTCCGGGAACAGGTTTCAGCTCCAAACAGCAGCCGGAGTCCAGCGCGTCGCAGATTTTAATCCCGGGAATCCGAACTGTTCATGGCAGAACTCTTTTCTAAAAGATAAAGATGTAAAATCTTTGGGTGTTTTTTCTTCTGATTTGTGAAATAATTTGCGGAAGAGCTGCATGAGTCCTGCTGGCTGCTGATCCCGGAGCTGAGGCACATCTGGGGCCGCGGCGCGCAGAGACACCGAACTCAAACCATCTTCCTGTCCGGGCTCAGCATGAACCTGATCGGGGGCTACCAGCACCACCACCACCACCACCTCATGCACGAACCCTTCCCGTTCGTCCAGCGGTGCCACCAGGACTCGCCCTACTTTCAGAGCTGGGTTGTGAACCACGGAGAGGTTCCCCCGGACTTCCAGATCCACCAGGCGCCCTACGCGGCCGCGGAGCTGGGGGCGCACGGAGCGACGCACGACGGCCGGCTGGAGGGGCTCCAGGCCGGGATGGGCAAGAGGAGAGCGGCGGGGCCGAAGAAGGAGCGCCGGAGGACGGAGAGCATCAACACGGCGTTCGCGGAGCTCCGGGAGTGCATCCCCAACGTGCCCGCGGACACCAAGCTGTCCAAGATCAAGACTTTACGCCTCGCGACCAGTTACATCGCGTACCTGATGGACGTGCTGGCCAAAGACTCCGGGGAGACCGAGGGCTTCAAGGCCGAGATCAAGAAGTTCGAGAGCCGGGATCTGAAAAGGAAACGGGAGCTGGTGAGTCTGAGCCGGTCCCGGTCCCGATCCTGGTCCCGGGTTTTTCTCTGAGTCAGGGCGGAAACCTCCTCTGGCCTCGGAGCTGGTCAGAGAGAACTCAAGGTCCAGATGGGTCAAGACAACGAACCTCAGGTTCTTCTCCTTTAACTTAACAGCTCAACTCATTTTAGATCCAGAACCTTTCGGGCCGTTCCAGACAACAACAACAACAACAACAACAACAACAAATATTTCACATCAGTTTCCCTCTTTTATTCTGTTGATGCTTTTTATAAACTTCAACAAATCCTGAGTTCAGTTCAGTCAAACTAAACCCTCATTTAATTTATGAGAAAAATAATAATTTTATTAAAATATTAAACGTTTACTAAAAATAATTAAATTGTATTAAAAATATGAACATTTTATTAAAGATATTAATATTTTATTAAAAATATGAACATTTTATTAAAGATATTAACATTTTATTAAAAATATGAACATTTTATTAAAGATATTAACTTGCTCACATGAATGAAGACTCAACACGATCCTCAGATAAATAATGTTAATAATTAAATGTTTAGTTGAGCCTGACGTGACTTCCTGTTCACACTTGCGCTATCAAAATAAAATGAAGTGGTTAGAAAACATTATTAAAAATATTAGAGCGCAAATATTAGAAGATGTAAATTTTATTTTTTCAAAAAAAGGTTTAAAACTCTTAGAACATTTCTCGTGGCCGCAGGAAACGGTTTGATGTTTTTCAGCTAATTTGATGAAAAACGAGCAAAGCGCGGCCAGATCAAAACATGACGTCACGTGGCTAAAAAAGCAGGAAAACAACCAGATCGATATATTCATGATGATGATGATGATGATGATGATGTGTTGGTCTTCTGGTGTCCCCCCACAGACTGACGGCCTGCAGGACTCTTTAGGGCCGGAGAAGAAGGTGAAGGGCCGGACCGGGTGGCCCCAGCAGGTCTGGGCTCTGGAGCTCAACCAGTGACCCCCAGCAGGACTCACAGACCCCCAAAGACCCCCAAAGACCTCCTGACGGACGCTCTGGATTTAAACCTGATATACAGAGACACGCGCGCGCGCGCACTGAGGATCAGAGAAACGCGCGACAGGAGGGACAGAGACCCGGGATGGACCGACTCATGTCTGTGGTACTTCTTCCTCTTCCTCTTCCTCTTCCTCTTCCTGTCTCCTGGCGCGGAGCTGCAGCCCAGATGTGCTCGTGTCCACACATCTGTCTTCAGACAAAATGAGCGCGTTTCTGGACCGAACAGAACTTTAAGAAAACGTCAAAGAATCTGCAGAATAAAGTCCAAACCGCGCGAGACAAACGTCATCAAATAATTATAAATATTATTGCGTCATGATTCAGATCCTGCAGATTTTTAAAAACATTTTTTTTTTTAATTTTAGAAACGACTTTATTTTTTCACAATGTTTAAATGATTTATTTTTATTTAAATTCGACCAAAAGTTTTTTTGTCATCATTTATAAATGACCGGAAGTCGCTTCAAGTTTAATTAAAGTCTGAACTTTTTGTTTCAAACACTAAAAACTACAATTTAAAATAAATGAGCACGTTAAGTCCCTTAGTTTAAAATCAAACCTAAAGATAAATCAAGTTTTAGTTTTCAGTCGCGGGAACATTTTTCCCAGAATTCTGAGCGTTGTGACTTTTTTCTCGAACTTCTTGAATCTACCTCAACACTTGAAGTCACTGAAGATGGAGGAGAGGAAGCAAAAAGAATAAAAACACGCAGGTTTCCACTCCGACACGAGACACGCTCAGTCTAAACTAATTATAGAAATTAAATATTAAAATGTTTATTATTGCTGTTGTTGGTGATGCAATGTGTTTAGATGTGAAGTTTTATTTGTTCCAGAAATAAACGGATTATTTTAAAACACATTTATATTGTTTGCTTCTTATTTCTGCCCATAAAGTCTCATTTTATAGAGTTCAGTCGCTCTGAAACTTTTCTTAAAGTTTTTATTATTTGTGTGTTTTCAAAAGTAAACTCCTGATTTAAGCTTGAGTAAAAAAATAAAAAAATCTAAAATATTTTTCTTCTAAACACCTAAACATAATTATTCTTAATTTATCCGATCTATTTAACTTGTTTAAATCTGAATTAGTGTTGCTTCTGTAAACCTGTTAAATCCAGAGGTGACTTTATTTTTTATTTCTTTCTTAACATTTTGCTCTTCCAACAGCAAAGACGGACGTTTTCAATTTATAGATATAAAAAAATACATTGTTAAGTAAATAAAATAAAAAGTTTTGTTTATGTGAATAAAAATGATTTAAACTAAACAATTCTCTCAGCTTTATAACCCTCTTTGCTATTTTTATAAGTCTTAATTATAAAAGTTATTAAGAATTAAAACATTTAAAATTAACAAAGCAGAGCTCAGCCTGAACTAACTAACTAACTAACTAACTAACTAACTAACTAACTAACTAACTAAACAATAAAATAAATAAATAAATGAATAAATTAAATAAATAGCCTAATAAATAAATAGGTAAATAAAAAGTAAATCAATAAATGGTTGAACTAACTAATGAAGCCATTTGCTGCAGTCACAGAAGAACAGCGACACCTGCTGGAAGAAATGTTCACTAACAAAGTCCATGCTCAATAATCCAGGATTACAATCCAACATTTTTCAGTCAGGTCATCTGGACAGTTTCTTTTTTTGTGCTGAAACGTTTCACCTTCGATCAGGAAGGCTTCAACAAAGAGACCATCTTATCACAAGCAGAACTGGTTTGTTTGGAGTAAGCTGTTGGAGGAAGAATCAGTTTTGTTGTGTTTACTTGACTGATGAAGCCTTCTGGATCGAAGGTGAAACGTTTCAGCACAAAAACAGAAATTGTCCAGATGACCTGACTGAAAAATGTTGAAATGTTCAGTAACTTCTTGAAAACCCAAATTAAACTTTTTAAAAACTCTTTCGGTTCATGAGTTTATAAAATAAAATACGTTTAGAAGCAAACAAAAACAAGTATCACACAACTAAACAACAAACATGTTGTGGTCTTTAAGACAAAATTAAAATGTTTAAAGATCAAACTGTATAAAGTTTGTAACCTGTTTGTTAAATGTGTTTAAGACCTTTAAGGAACGCTGCTTATTCTAACTCAAAATTATTTCAATGACTCATTTAATTATTTTAAATTGTTTGTTTCTATACTTTTAATAAAATATTAATGAAGCTTGTGTGAAACAGCATCACTGAACACCTAAACATATTTATATTAAATGTGCTGCTACTGAAGATAAACACAAAACTTTGAGGTTTTTTTTTCAAAGTTTGATTCTTTTATCAACCTTTAATCTTCAGGATAATGTTTACTTGGTTTAAATTAGTTAATTTTAATAACATAACTGAGATTTTTGACGTCAGACAGAGATGAACTATAGTTCTTTTAAACATGCACTAACCTGTGTGTGTGTAAATATAAATAAATGTATATATATTTATATTCTTGGCTATTATTTTTACGCGGGATGTCCTTCATGATCGACCACAGACACCGAGCTACCGCAGCCTCTGTGTGGAGCAGAGAGCTGCCAGTTAGGGCGCCCGGGGAGCAGATGGTGGGGGTTAAGGGCCTTGCTCAAGGGCCCAGAGTGGGGCAGATGAGGGTGGAGGCAGGTGTGGATGCTTCACCTTTCTCACCCACATTTTGACGTTGTCGGTACCGGGAGTTGAACCAGCGATCTTCCTCTCTGGCAACAGTTGCTGTATGCTCCGTTCTCCAACTCACCTGCTGAAGCTCGTCGCTCCTTCAGGTGGTCTCAGAGGTCTTGGTGGTCTCAGAGGTCTTGGTGGTCTCGCTCACTGTCCTCCTCCAAGACCTGCTCTCGGTAGATTTACACATGTTCCCAAACGCCTCCCAGCTCTGCACGATGGTTTAACAGAACTCCTGGGACGTTTAGGACTTTGGAAAACTTCATGGATCAGTTCCCTGACTTGTATTTGGAAACATTAATAAAATAAATTCTGGTTTATTTTAAAGGGGTACATATTTATGCAATCTCTTATTATATGTTCTTTTCTATTTTAAAATGACGGTCCAGTAAAAACAGAAAACATCAAAGAGAGAGAAAACTTTTTCTTCACGTAGTAATAAATGATGCTGATGGATGTGAAACAGAAAATAAACATTATTTCATCCAAGTTAAGTGTTTTTATTTTTCTAGTTTGTTGTTAAAACTAAAGACAATGACGCTGAATTTACATTTTATCTGTTAAATCCTTACAAAACAAATTCATCTGATTTTTTCTGCTTTTGATCTTGTTCATATTTATTTTTGAAAGCATTTTAAATAAAATCATTTCATTGCTAGTTTAATTATCATAAATCTTTTTATTGATGTCTTTAAATAAAGCTGAAAATAATTAAATTAAGCCGATCACGTTTAGTTTCAACACATCTGGATCTTAATTCAGTGAGTTATAAAATCAAAATACTTTAACTATTGTTGACTGCTTGGTCATGTTTAGTTTTTATAATAAGAAATATTGAGTTAAATTTGTGAAAATCATAAAACTGTGATTTATTTGAGCAGAAAGGTGAAGAGCGACACCTGCTGGTGGATACCTGGAACTGAAACCTCAAACTGAACATTTCTGTTGAACTTGAATTAAAAACTGAGGAACAAGGACGGGCGGCGGCACGGTGGAGCTGTTGGTGGAGCAGTTGGTGGAGCTGTTGGTGGAGCTGTTGGTGGAGCAGTTGGTGGAGCAGTTGGTGGAGCTGTTGGTGGAGCAGTTGGTGGAGCTGTTGGTGGTGCAGTTGGTGGAGCAGTTGGTGGAGCTGTTGGTGGAGCTGTTGGTGGAGCAGTTGGTGGAGCAGTTGGTGGAGCTACCGCCTCTCAGCGAGCAGGTCCTTGGATTAAATCCTGGCCACAGACGTTGCTGGGTGGAGTCAGCATGTTCTCTCCGTGGGTTTCCTCCCACAGGCCAAAAACATGCATGTTACACTGACTGGTGACTCTAGTCTAAAGTGTCCCTAGGTGTCCCTGTGATGGACTGGAGACCTGTCCAGGTGTCCCTTCACTTCAGTTTATTTCTTCAGCTTCAAGTCACGAGAGAAGTCGTCTCAGACTGAACAGAAACGTTCATTTATAAAATAATAATTTATTTATCTGAGGAGCAGCTTTGAGTTTAACTCCATCACTGAACTCTCATCTTGAACAAGCATGAAGGCGACAGTGGAAAGAAAAACTCCCTCATGAGGAAGAAACCTTTAGCAGAACCAGGATCAGGACAAGAGGACCATCTGCTTCGACCGACTGGGTTTGGTAAGAACAGATACACAATGGCAGGTCAAGAATCACATGTTAAGATAGAAATAGTATCAAATAAAAACTATTTAATTTTAACAATTCATTTAAGGAAATGAGGTCAGTTTGTCCTCTAGTAGTCTAAGTCTATAGCAGCATAACAAGCTGACCCTAACTATAGGATTTATCAAAAAGGAAAGTCTTAAACTGGACAAGGTGTCAGTTTCATGGACAGAAACTGGAAGTTGGTTCCACAAGAGAGGAGCCTGAGAACTGAAAGATCTTCCTCCCATTCTGCTTTTGTAAACTCTAGGAACCACAAGTAAACCTGCAGTCTGAGAGTGAAGTGCTCTGTTCAGAATATATGGAACAATAAGATCTGTAATATAAGATGGAGCTAGGTTGTTGAGGGCTTTGTAGGTTAGAATTAAGATTTTGAATTCTATTCTGGATTTGACAGGGAGCCAATGGAGAGAAGCTAAAGCTGGAGAGATATGATCTCTCCCAGTAACTCCAGTTAAGACTCTGGCAGCAGCATTTTGGATCAACTGAAGACGTTTTAAAGAAGTATTTGGACACCCAGATAATAAACCATTGCAATAGTCCAGTCTAGACGTGACAAATGATGGACCAGTTTTTCTGCATCATCTTTAGATCAGATGTTTCTAATGTTAGTGATATTACGCAGGTGGAAGAAGGAGGTTCTAGTAACGTTTTTAATGTGGGGGATAAAAGACATGTCCTGATCAAAAATAACACCAAGATTTTTAACATTAGAGCTGGAGGACAGATTAATGCATCCAAGGAGGGAGAAAGACTGAAACATTCATTCCTAAGGTGCTCAGGTCCAAAAACCAAACCCTCAGTCTTGTCTGTGTTCAACAGGAGAAAATTAAGGGTCATCCAGGTTTTTATGTCTTTAAGACATGCTTGTAGTCTAAGTAGCTGATTGGATTCATTGGGTTTAATGGACAAATATAATTGAGTATCATCAGCATAACAATGAACATTTATCCCATGTTGTTTAATATTTTTACCTAATGGAAGCATATATAAGGTAAAGAGTATTGGTCCTAGCAAAGAACCCTGAGGAACTCCATGACTAACTTTCGTGTATGAAGATTTATTATTTACATTTACAAACTGGAATCTATCAGATAGATATGATTTAAACCACTTTAGAGCTGTTCCTGTAATCCCAACATCATATTCAAACCTCTGTAGTAAAATATTGTATCAAATGCAGCACTGAGGTCTAACAGGACCAGTGGAGACACAAGTCCATTGCAGAGGTCATGAGAACATCATTAGTGACTTTCACCAGTGCAGATTCAGTGCTGTGGTGAACTCTTGACTGAAACTCAGGCTGAAAAGATGGAAGTGCTGGACTGGAGACCAGTCCAGGGTGTCCCCACCTCTCACAGGGACTGCTGGACATGGGCACCAGCGACCCCCACACCTGAAAAGGAAGAAGCGGGTAAAGATGGACGGAAGAAACGAGGCAGGTCCGTCTGTACAATACATTTATTAATATTAAGAGCAGTTCGCAGCCGGACTTAAATATGATTTTTGTCTTTTCTAACCAATAAGGAGGCGTGTTAATAAAGACGGTTTCTACACGACACTAAAACTACAGCAACTTAAAAACATCAAACGTACAACAAAGTTTAAAAAGAAAGGAGTCCTGAGGGAAGGTTCGAGACCCGAGGACAGCGGTTGTCTCTGCTCCAGACGACTTGAACGAACATTTGAGTCCCTCAAACTCCCAAAGTTCTGATCCAAACGGGACTTTTTAAACATTTCACGTGATAAATGCTTCATAATCGATTCTTCTTCTGCGGCGGCGCCGGGGCACCGGAGACAGAAACAGTGCTTTTAAATGTAAACCGCTGATCCCCCGCGCGCACAAAGACGTTAAAGATCCAGAATGATTTTAAACTGAACTAAAGAGGGAAATGGAACGAAACCAGTTTACGTCTAAAAGGACCAACGAAGAAGAAACACACGTCTGAACGCTTCACACCTGCACATAATTAAAGATCATCGGTTTGTGGGAACAGAACCCGAGCTCGGGTCTCAGTAAAGATGGCGCCTTTTCTCCAACGACGTGTTTAAACAACAGAAACTTGTGACCCCCCCTCCCCCCCAGGACCCAATGACGGGCACCACAAACAAAAACCAACATGTTGTTTATAAGGCAGCCATTTTGTACATTGCAGGAGTATGGTTTCAGATCAGACCCGGTTTGTTGGACCCGTAGAACAGCACGACGACGTCAAACCACAGAGTTCTGGTCCTGGACAGTCTTTCTGGACCTGGTTCTGTAGGAAGTGTGTGAAGTCGTCCCACCCTGGGTACTGTTTAACGTCCTCTGAGGACAGAAGGTTCTGGTGGGATCAGCCTGAGCTGGGTCTGTGGGGAGCGATGGTTCTGCAGCGGTTCTGGTCGGGGAACCTTTAGTCCAGCGGCTTGGCTCCGTCCCCCTTCTGGTCCAGGCGGCTCTTGCTGCTCTTCACCATGTAGATGAAGTAGGTGAGCGTCTCCTTCTCGTTCACCGGGATGTTCCTGAAGTGACGGCTCACCGTCTGCACAGGACAAACATTTGGTTCTGACGTGAGACAGCTCAGACAAGACCGGCCCACTTACAAGTCCTCATCCTGACCCCCCCACCATGAGACCGGTTCTGATCCTGACCCACCACCACCATCAGAAAAGTTCTCATCCTGACCCCCACCCCCCGACAGTTCCCGTGTGAAGCCGTACCTCTGCCAGCTGGGCCTTGTTGAGTCCGGGTCGGGTCTGCAGCTTGTAGTGTCGCTTGTAGCGCCTCAGTGTGTTCACCTGCAGCTGGAAGAGATCCACCTGGACACACAGGGTCCCAGTGAGACCAGTCCAACACCCCCCCCCCCCCCCCCCCCCCCCCCCCCCCCCCAACACGCACCCCCCCCCCCCCCCCCCCCCCCCCCCCAAAACAACAAACTCTTCATTTTACACAAGACGTGGTGCACATGTCTGTCACAAGTCCAGAGCAGCAACAAAACGCTGCTCTCTGAACCCGACGGAGATCATGTGAGTAGAGACGACGTCACTAAAACTTTATATCTGAACCTCACATGAGCTAAAGAAACCTGACATGAGCTAAAGAAACCTCACATGAGCTAAAGAAACCTGACATGAGTTAAAGAAAGTCCTTTAACAGAAACCTGACATGAGCTAAAGAAACCCAACATGAGCTAAAGAAAGCTGACATGAGCTAAAGAAA